CACCATCCTCAACAATCAACAACTGGCGGATGCTCTTAAAGCCCAGTTCCAGGAAGTCTATGCCAAGGTTGATGGTCTAAGGCAATGGCTTGAGGATGCTCCTGTATTGCATTCCTCAAGAGGGGGAAGTGACGAAGAAGAAGACCATCACTCCAATCATTCAAATAGCATCTCACACCATCAAAGTCCCCCCATTATTACTGAAAAAGTTCCTTCACCGCAACCATCACCATCACCATCTCATCAGACTCCACCGCAAAAGGAGATCTCTCCCGAGCGACCAGAGACCCCTCCCCATTTTAAAAATCTGGCATCTCACATGTCCTCCGAAAACTCAGCTGACTCCCCCGCAACGCAACAAAGAAAGAAAGACTGGAAAGCAGCAAAGTTCGCGAAGCTCATCTGGAGAGAGAATGGGTTCGACATCACTATGGACGAATCCTTAGTGAACTCCTGGATCAACCCCCACCGTATACTCCTTGATGATGACTACAAACCATACCTCACATATGCTGAACCCCCTTCTGATGGTTATTGGGATGTTCCAATCTCTCCCAATGCCAAGTTCTTTATCGTATTTGAGCCTTTCGACCGCAACTTGCCCGACCACAAGAGACTGCCTATGGAATTCGAACGATAATCGGTGTTCTACGCCCAAACATGCGTCTTCCATAGAGAAAATCTGGTCTAACGATAGACCATCCGCAGTCAAAAACTACAAACCCGGAACGTTCATGAAGGCTGACTCTTCATTCAATACACTCTCACAAGAAGGGAACACGACTATGTCCGCACCCAAGCAGACTTCCCTTGCATGAACCCTGAAGAAGTCTTCCTCATAGCCAAGGTGTTCCAGAACAAGTCGGAGAAGCATCCGAAGATGAAAATAGCTCTTGAGAAGGCAAGTACGTTCTTAAAGGAAACTGTCTGCGACTTTGCCAAAATCGATGCAGACATTCATCCTTCCTGGCCACAAATTCGATCTTCCACCACTTGACCTCGCACCCATGATCACTGAAGGATTCCAAGAAAGATCCTTAGGTGCTACAAACTTCCCAGACCTCGGAGTCATCTTCAAAAGGAAACTCAACGATACAAAATACTTTATTCCGTTGACTGCCATGAATCGCCTTACAAGGAAGCAGATTGAAGTTTGTAGAACCGCAGTTGAAAAATCAAAACATACAACTACCGAGGTCAAGTTTGAGATTTTGAGAAGGATCACCTGGTTAGAAAATATCAGGAAGTTTGGTGGATACTGATCAAGTTTTTGAAAATGACACTGAAGAGAAGTTAAAGAGGTCACTTAGGGGGAAATTGTTGAATCATGAAAAGTGACCCTCTTGAACTTCAACTACCGCAATCCACAATGATCCGCAGTCTAGGCCTCATCATCAGCACCCGGAGTCGTCATCAACCGCAGTCACTTTTACTAGATTACTTTACTTTGTCTACTTTCTGTAATACTCTCTATTGTCCAGTATGCCTTGCATGACTACTCTTAGAGGCGTAATCTAGTGTATTTCTTGAGACTCTATAAATAGAGCTCATTCGTTCTTATTCAATATAACTCTGAAGCTATCTTTTCTATCTCTCTATCTGATTATGCATCTCTTCTTACTCTCAATTCTTACTAGAATATAACTTATTACAATCTCTCTTCGGAGCAAGTCTCTTGTGACTTAATCACTAAGTTTGATATTCCTTATTAACTTGGTTTGAATGCATTCCTTGTTATGAATCAACTTATATGTATACTTGATATAACAATTGTTGTCATTTCCATTCTTTACTTTTCCGCAACTAACTCTCTAACTATTTAACTCTAACTTATTAATATTATTGTTGAGCTTTTAGATCCTTCGAGATTAACTATTCCGCAACTATACTTGTTCTAACGTTTGTTCAAGTGTGTCTCAAAGTTTTTCTCTCAACATTATCAAATACGAATTGTTATAGGCTTTTTATACAGTTTGTTTACCAATAATAAATACAACACAAAATTTCATAAATGGCCCCTGTGGGTTTTCGAAAATTTGCATTTTCAAGATATCTTTAGAAAGTGTTACATTCATGGTCCTTGTGATTTCAAAACCATACATCATCGGTCCTTTTAACTAACTCTATTAGTAAAAGAGGTTAATTAATTGTCAAATAACCAATTTGCCCTATTTATTTATTTATTTAATTATGTTTTTTCTTTTATCCTTTTTAACTAACATCAAACCCTAACATACTAATTAACCTCACACAAAAACCCTCTCACACCCACCTCTTCTTAAAACCCGTCTACCACCTACTCCCCACCTTTCTCCAGATCCGACGGTGTCGATCCACCACCACCATTGCTATGGAGTACCCCATCATACTAAGAATGGATGGAAACTCGGGATTGAATTTATGGAGAGTGGATGTCTGATAAAAAATGACTATCCTCTCCTTTCTCCTTTGCGTTTATCATAGTCGCCACTGTTGAGGGGTGATTTTTGATGTACTGTGTTAGATGGCATCGTTCCAAGAGGGGCGACTACCCTTCCCCTTCTCTTTCCATGTAAGATGTTTGCAAATTAGGGTTTTCATTATAAATTAGGCTAGGTTTTTTTGTTAATGGTTATGATTTGATTATCAAATGGATTTTAATTTGGAAATTGTGTGAATAATGCTTCTTCTTATTTGATTAGTCTAATTTGTTTGATTATCATATGGTTAATTTTAGTGTGATAAAAGTTGAATATCAGAAGATAAAGATTGTTAATCATGTCTAACTAACGATCTCTGTGTAATTTTATTATTTTATTATTTATAGTTTGATTTGTATGGCTTGTATATGTAATCCCTATTTGGTATAATGCTTTCTTGGATTAAGGTTTGATGATTCTACTTTTACTGATAGACTTTAATTTAATTACTTAAATTTGTAAGTTTTCTTTTAGGTAACAATATATATGATGATTCATCATGTGGTGTTCTTTAATGATGGCTTGGTTTGTGTGGATCAATTTGATTACCTTCATTCCTTTGAATTAATGCCCTTTGCCAACTTTTTCATAGTATATGAATGAGAATAAAATTTTGATCCGATTATGTTAGGGTTGTGCATGCTTAAACTAATTACTCGACATATATATAGTTGTAATAAATTGATTTTGTATAGTTGGGTAATGTTACATTAAAATGCCACACTTTCTTGGTGTCTAGAGATTATTAACAAGTATGGATGGTGGGAACATGAGCTAAATGGGAATCCAACGTTGGTAATAACATATCAAGAAGCTTGACAAATTGTGAATGATTCTTGAAATGATATGTATTTTTTTAACCCTTCAATCTTTCTTGTTTCTATTCATCATTTTGATACCTGTCATGAGTCCTTGATTGAGATCTTTGTTGTTAACTACTAGTTTGACTTCAAGACTCAAAATAGTCATTTGATATTTTCAACCTTTCTTGTTTATTTTCACCATTTTATTCATTGCTACGATGTTTTCGTAATGACTATAGGGCCATTTTTTTATGATTTTATAGGGTCGGTTGGTATGAACAAAGCATATTTGGAGCGGACGGTTTGTCTAAACACCTATTTAACACAAATATCATAGTTAATAAGACTATGCCCCCTCGATTTGTTAGGAGCAAACAACAATAAGATCTTTATGGTAAAATGAACAATTAAAAGAAGGCTCTACAAAAACATTTGGTATAGAAAGTACTTAAAAAAGTTTCACCTTTTACAGTAGAGCTTTAAGTTGAATCAATTTCTTGACGATGTGAAAATACATTCTAAATATATCATTGTAAATGTTTTATATTTTATGATTCTGTTGGGGTTTGTTTGTATTTTGATCACTAGTAGTATTTATTACACTAATTTGGTTACTAAAGTTCTTTTTATGTAATATTGGTTGGATATTAGATGTTGGTGGTAGTAAATCACTAATTTCCTTATGGAAATATTGTGAGAAAATGAATTTTTCTATTTATATTTTGAAAAAAACTATTGGTAAATGAAATTAAACATTATTGTATTAAACCGTGCTATCAAAAAACCTTGATGTATTTTATTTTTGTTGAAATAAAAAAATCTTAAAGTATTAGACTATCAAAAAAAATATTTGTTATTAAACACCTTTTTATTAACTATCAAAGAGAAATTTTGAGTTTTAATCATCCCTAATAAATAAAGATCTTTTTGCTACATGTCACATTATTATTTATTTTGCCACATGTAATTTTGTGGTTACTTTAAATTAATTTTTATTCCACATGTCATTTTATGGTTTTTTTCATTTTATTAAATTCTAGATAGTATTTAAATGTAATAATAAATACATATCAAATTCATTAATGAACTTTACTTCTAATTTCAAAATTACTAAATTAAAGATTCATTAACTTTCTTTATTTATTTATCTAAATTATTTGTTTAAATTTAAAAAAGAAAAAAACACTTTAATTTTTATAATTCAATATTTTCTTATTTTTTTTATAAATTCAAACTTCTCAAATATTTAGAATTTTGCATTTAGTTTTTATTTTAAATAAATATATGGCTAGTTAATTGTATTAATTTAGTTGCAATAAATAAAAACAAAATATAACTATATATAGGGTTACAGAAAAGGTCCTTATAGTATTTTATATATTTAAAATTTAGTCCAAGTTAAATCTGTCATTTTAGTTTGTTTTAACGACTGAGGGACTAGTCGTGTTTGATTTTCAAACCACAGGGACCATATATGTAATTCTTTTCAAAGATATCCTGAAAATGCAAATTTTCGGAAACCACAAGGACCATTTATATTTCAAACTTAAATGGAACAAAGTGGTTTTAACGTAGGCTAAAAGTTTTGACGTCGTATATTTCAAATCTTCCTATAGATGAGGGACTAATATCGTAACATTTATTTTTTCACCCCTCACACGCTCACATGGTTTATAATCGCCAAAAAACCTGCTACTTTCTTCTGTGGTTTTAGAGAGAGAAAGCGACGAGAGATGGATAAAGACAACACAGAGCTCCATTAATGGCTACTTTCATCATGTAAATCAAATCCTTCGGTAAGTATATCCATTTGCTTTTGTTTTCTTTTTTATGTTCCCTTTTCGTTTCCCAATTCATTTCATTGAATCTAGAGTTGTTCCAGCTTCTTCCGTTACAAATCTTGTTAAACTCGGAAACATTCTCTTTCTTTTTCCCATTTGAATCTCACACCTAATTGGTTTTCATGGTGAAATGAAGCTATTGCAGCAGAATATGGATCCGAATCAGAAGAGAGCCAAAGTGGTTGACCGAGTTGACTCGGTCGACACCGGTGTAGCATCGTTCGAGTCGACTCGGATGTGCCCATTCCCGGATGAGGTCCTAGAACGAGTACTGTCGCTAATAGACTCCAACAAGGACCGGAGCTCGGTGTCACTGGTTTGTAAAGATTGGTACAACGCCGAGCGCTGGAGCAGGCGCCACGTGTTCATCGGTAACTGCTACTCGGTGTCGCCGGAGATTGTGGCTGCTAGGTTTCCGAGGATTCAGAGCGTTACCCTTAAGGGAAAACCCAGGTTTTCGGATTTCAATTTGGTACCAGAGGATTGGGGAGCCGACATTCAGCCATGGCTGAGTGTATTCGCTACTGCGTATCCATTCCTAGAGGAGCTCAGGCTGAAGAGAATGGCTGTTAGCGATGAGAGTTTGGAGTTTCTAGCAACGAATTTTCAAGGTTTTAAAGCCCTATCGCTACTGAGTTGTGATGGGTTCAGTACTGATGGACTAAAAGCTATTGCTACTCATTGCAAGTAAGATTTACTCTCCTATAACCTCAGCAATGCCTGATTCCATTGTGTTTATCGTTGGTATTGTAAAATTCTTCAAGTTTCAAACTTCATCAAAATGGGTTTTTGATTTTTGATTTTTGATCTTGAATCTTGATTTGACTTTGAATAAAACCAGATCAAACTCCGAACTGTTTTTCCATAAAGTGTTGTTCATTTCCAATCTGATATATTGATTCCGTTACTAATTCTTTGTAAATTAGGAATCTGGATTGTGTTTATTACTTATTAGCCAATAAAGCTTTTGATCAATAGCAGTTTCTAGAAATAGATCAATGATGAGAATGTTTTGCACAAGAAAATTATTTTTTCTGTCATCATCCGAAATGAAAAGTAGAATATATATTTAATGGACTAGAATCAAAAGGGTAAACAAAGCAAGATATTTGCATGTAGTGTTTGATTTATTATGGAAAAGATCACGTCTTGGTGCCTTTAGAAGATTGATTATAATTTCTGTAGAAAAAAATATCAGGTTTTGTGTTTGGTTTACCTGAGAAAATTAATGCTGGTGCCTTTAAAACATTGGGTATGATTTGAATTGAAAAATTATCAAATCTTTCTGCTCAATTTCGGGTAGACATTTTCTGGACAAGGTACAAATTTTATTGCGGTTGGAACAAATCACCATATAAATGATTGCTTGTACTTAACCATTTGAGCTCCTGAAAAAAATTATTGAGTCATATTTCTTTATGGTTCCTTTTCTTCTCATAGTCAAAAGCAACGTATAAATTTCATTGCACAAGGTACAACCAAATTCATAGAATTCGTTTTTCTTATGGGTGATTAATTCTTTTATCTTTGTGTGGTTTGGGAGTATTACAATAGAGGGTTTGAGTGGAAACTTAGGTGGTGCTACTTTATGGTTTCTTTTTCTTTGCCTTTTCTTTCGTTGCTTTCTTGATTGTGACATTTGGCCTATTTAATGGGCGGCATGTTATTGATGTCATTCTCTACACAAACAAAAAAAAAAAAAATCTTTACATTGAGTGATGAAGTTTGCAATTTGATTTTAGATATATATTAAATTAACCAATGATTATGTTTCTTCTTCACCTACCTTCACATGCCATTATGTTTTTTTTCTTGTTTAGCATATTGTAAAAAAAAAAAAAAACAATTTCTTGTAGGAACATGACAGAGCTCGATATTCAAGAAAATGGAATCGATGATCTTGGAGGCCATTGGTTAAGTTGCTTCCCAGAAAGCTTAACCTCATTAGAAGTTCTCAACTTTGCAAGCTTAAACAGTGAAGTCAGTTTCGAAGCCCTAGAAAAACTCATTTCAAGATCAAAATCTCTAAGGGTTTTGAAAGTGAATCGAAACATAAGTTTAGATCAATTACAAAAGCTTCTTTTACAAGCTCCACAGTTGATGGAGTTAGGTACAGGAACTTTCATGCAAGAACTTGTTTCGGGCCCACTTACTGATCTCAAAAATACATTTAGCAACTGTAAAAATCTCATCACTCTTTCGGGGTTATGGGATGCCACGTCACTTTATCTTCCAGTTATTTACCCTGCGTGTGTGAATCTCACGTTTTTAAATCTGAGTTATGCAACTTTACGCAGTGGTGAACTTTCAAAGCTTCTTTCTCATTGTAAAAGCCTTCGTCGCCTTTGGGTAATAACTAATAAATCTCTTCATTTTTACTCTTTTTACTAATTAAAAAATTATCTAACAAAAATTTATTTTTTTACAGCTTCTTGATACTGTAGGAGACAAAGGTCTAGAAGCAGTTGGATCCAGCTGCCCATTACTTGAAGAACTCCGGGTTTTTCCAGCTGACCCGTTTGACCAAGAGATTTTCCTTGGGGTGACCGAATCAGGATTTGTCTCTGTTTCCCAAGGCTGCCCGAAACTCCGATATGTCCTCTACTTCTGTCGCCAAATGACAAACGCAGCAGTTGCCACGATTGCCCGAAACTGCCCGGGATTCACCCACTTCCGTCTCTGCATCATGAACCCGGGTCAACCCGATTACCTCACAAAAGAACCAATGGACGAAGCGTTCGGGTCCATAGTCAAAGCCTGCCCGAATCTCCAACGCCTTGCGGTTTCCGGGCAGTTAACTGACCGGACATTCGAATACATCGGGAAATACTCAAAAAACCTTGAAACACTTTCGGTCGCGTTTGCGGGCAGCAGTGATTTGGGGATGGAGTATGTGTTGGGCGGCTGCCCGAAATTGAGGAAGCTGGAGATACGAGACTGCCCGTTTGGAAACGTGGCGTTGCTTTCGGGTTTGACTAAATATGAGTCAATGCGGTCGTTGTGGATGTCGGCTTGTAATGTGACTATGAATGGGTGTAGGGTGTTGGCTAAAGAGAGACCGAGGTTAAATGTTGAGGTTATGAAGGAAGAAGGTGGTGATGATGGTGAGGCTCATAAGGTTTATGTTTATCGAACTGTGGCTGGCCCACGAAAGGATGCACCACCTTTTGTTCTAACCCTATGAAAAACCCTAGAATGTTGTGAGGTGGCTGATGAATAAGATGTATATACGTCAGACTTGGTCGGGGTAAAATGGGTATTCTTTCTTGTTGTTTCGTTTATGTATTATTTTTTTCTTTCTTGTTGGATAAGGTTAGTATTTTTATGTGGTAGTTGATTGATAACTGATGATAAACAACATGCATCATGGAGATTGGAGAGACATTTTCCTTGGGTTTATATTGTTGGAAACTACAAAATCTGTGTGTAAAGTAGGGTATCTGTCATATCTTGCTATCTTGTTTCGTCTTTTTAGATGTATTATTGATATCAGTTTCGGTCTCAGTTTAATTTTTTGTTTTCTCATGTCTGTCTTGTCTTCTTTAATAAACAAGAAATAAGAAACGAACCTTAAGAGTTGAAACTACTAAAACCGTATGTTTGGAAGAGAAGTGGAGAAAGGTTATTTTAAATGATTTTGTCACACTTTGAAATGAAAGGAAAGAATAATTTGAAATGAAAGGAAAGAATAGAGTTGATAGGGTTATTTTCGGTGATAAGTATGTGGAGATTAATTATGTCTTTTGCACAAGAGGCCGAATGGGTCTTGGTAGTTATCAAATATATTTATAATTGAAATTTCTGATGAAAAATTGAATAAGATTATTATATACGATTTAGTTATAGGCTGAAACTACATGAACCTTATGAGCCTCGCTATCATCGTCACCTTCATCTACACGGTTAATTATATATCTCGTTTAATATATCCAAAAGTCTTGATGTAATTAAGAATGAAATTTACGACTTTTGCGTATATTAAACGAGATAATATTAATCGTGTAGATGTTTTCTATGATGACTTATATTTTGATTGATATATCTTTTATTTTGGGAAACTGATTTGTACATAACATATTTTTTCCATACATAATAATTTGCGCTTTAAAATGCTGTATCGTACAATTTTATAACACGTAAATTGTTATGTATGGAGAAAAATTGTTGTGTACAAATCACTTTCCTTCGTTTTGTGTTTTAACTTGGCTACTTCATTAGGCAAAAGGAAATAGAAGAAGTTATAGTGACATGTGCAACAACTTATATTTGTATTTAGGAATGTACATGATTTGGATTTGTCTGTCGGATTTTATCTTTGCTAGTTCATCGAGGTCTTCATCAATTTTTTTTTTCAATTTAATATGTATTGAAACAGACTGGGATTTGTATGTTGGATTTGAAATAAATACTTTGTCATCTTCATTGATTTTCTTGTTCATCTTCATCGACTTTTATACGTTCATGGTGTATTGAAATGTATTTGGATTTCAAATGGTCTTGTTGTTCATCATCATCAATTTTTCTAGGTTTAATATATATATATATATATATATATATATATATATATATATATATATATATATATATATATATATATATATATATATATATATATATATGAGAAAAGTGATTATATAGCTGTTATGTACCTAAGCTTAGGTATAGAATCTTGTAAACAACGTATTTTTAAACAAATTCAACTTCATTTTCTCTTAATTTTGTTTTAATAAGATACCATTGAATTGAGTTAAATTATGGAATGAAAAAGATCAATTATATATCTTTTTATTGCAAAGAATTCTTGAAGTTTATAGGGAAAGTAAAAATCAATATTTTTTTAACGAATATAACTCAAACGTTTTGTCCTTCAATTGAAAAACTATATCCAATGATTTTCTGAAAAGTTTGATTGAGTTATTGCATATTCTTCTTTTATCTTTTATTGTATTAGTTTTCATTTAAAATTTAGTAGAATTGATTAAATGATCATAACTTTCAATGCTTTAAGTTCTTAGACACAATGAAGAAAAAGAACATAAATTCGATCGGTTTAGTAAGTAACGTGATTGAGGAATAATACTAAACGAGCTATCATGATTAGTTTGGATATATATGGATCAAAACTACATAATTTGGTGGGTTCTATATATAAGCTTAGGTACATAACAGTCACATATTCTCTATAATATATATATATATATATATATATATATATATATATATATATATATATATAATATATATATATGAAATGGATTTGGATTTGAAATGGACCCTTCATTTTTTTCCCTTTTTTATGCTTATTTTCATCAATTGTTTAAGTTGATTGTTTTCAAGAAGATGATGGTCGGAGGTGGAGGATAAGCATCCACATCAGTACCTTCCTCGGGGGTTGCTCCATACGGGGATGATACCACGAAGGCATTGGAGGATAAGCATCCACATAAGCCACCACCATCCATGCCGAGTACCATATGTTCAGTACCTTCCCTTGTAGTGGATATTGATAATGTCCTTGGGGGTGTTAAATCATTCCCTAAAGGAACCTCGTGTGGGATAGATGGGTTGAGAGCTCAACACATTTTAGATGCTCTTTGTGGAGAAGCTTCAGCTATAGCCAAAGACCTCCTATGTGCTATTACATGTGTGGTTAATCTATGGCTAGGGGGAAGATGTCCTTCGATTTTGGCAGAATTTGTTGCCTCTGCTCCTCTTACACCGCTCTTAAAACCTTACAAGGGAATACGATCTATTGCAGTGGGCACTATATGGATAAGGTTTCCAACTTTATCCATCAGAATGGTCCAACCAACTAAGATGTAGTCTTTAAGTCTCAAAGGGACCAAAAGTGCATCTTTTCCAACTTAATCCATTAAGTCCAAGTCTCAAGCCTTTAGATCTGAATCAATATGATGTTTAGATGGATAAAGTTTCCAACTTTGTCCATAACAAGGTCACAAACTTTCAAGATCTAAACGTTATGCACTAAAGTGACCAAAAGCTCATAACGCCCAAGACTAGCTAGATCTATCAAATGCATCATCAATATTCAAACTTTATACCTCTAGAAGAAAGATCAAGGTGAACAAAGTTTGGATCTACAAGATGCACTAAGAACACTCCAAAGCACTCAAGCACATCTTCTTTTGCTCAAAAGGCTCAAACTAGGGTTAGAGTTTTCAAGGGAGGATGTTGGAGAGGTGGAGGCTGAGAATGAAATGAGTTTGGGGAAGTTAAAGAGCCTAAATAGGGCTCAAATAACGAAACTAGGGTTTTGGGCACTGATCACGTACGGCCAGCGTACCAGGGATGCCCTAGTACGCTCAACGTACTAGACTAAGTCCAAAACCTTCTTAACTTCTAACGATCATAACTTCTTCGTTCCAACTCCATTTCCAACGATCTTTATATCCACATAAAGATAATAAGGAGCTCTACAACCCTATCTAATTACTTTTGAGTTAAAACACATCGAACTAAAATCCTTAATTTATAAAAGAAGTCTAAAACACCACTGTTCCCATTTTACCCTTTGACTCAAAACACAAACCGAACTCTTGGATCACATAATCTACATTACCCACATCCAAATGGGTCTAAACCTCTCTTTCCCAAAGCCCGATGCCTTATGATACTTGATCTTTGGGGTCACGACCTTGAATTTATGAAACGAATCGAAAGAGGGTGTTACATCCGATGAGTTTTGTTTATAAATGGAAGCAAAGAAATAAAGATGATGCCATTTGGTGTTTCCATTAGAGTCCTTCTAAGGGTTATTGTGTTGGCCTCTCAGAGAAGTTGGAGTTCACAATCCACCATAGGAATTTAAAACCCAAATGTTGTTACTTTTTTACCAAATTGTTATTTGTTCTACCTGGTTTTTTATAGATGAGTTCCAATGAGTTTTATTTATTTTTTCCAAATTGAAATTGACGATGGAGATGACATAAGCTGTGGGCTAGACCCACTAAAGAACTTCCACATGAGTTGTGATGCAAAACAAGAGAGAGGGAGAGAGAGAGAGAGAGAGAGAGAGAGAGAGAGAGGTCATGTGGGCCCTATTATTTATTGTCTTTTTTTTAACAGATTTAGTTAAAATAATATATAAAAAAATGAGAAGGGTAAGGTATATAAATCTTTGTAGGTGGGTGAGGGACCAACCACGATAGAAATTAAAAACCATAGGGACCTTCTATGAATTTTTTTAAAACATAAGGATTATATCCTAGAATTCGGGAAACCACAGGGACTAGGGCTGTAAACGAATCGAACGTTCGGCTGAGAAGTTCGTTTATGTTTGTTTATTTAATAAATGAACGAACATGAACACAAATTCTCGTTCATTTAGTTAAACGAACGGACATGAATGATGGTCTCGTTCGTTCATTTATGTTCGTGAACGTTCGTTTATGTTGTTCGTTTACGAGCGTTTATGTTCGTTCATTTAAGTTTATTTATGTTCATATATATTCAATTGTTTTTTATTACATTATTATATTATATATTCGTTTATATTCATATATGTTCAATTGTGTTTGTTTATCTTTGTTCGTTTAGCATGTTCACGAACATGAACAATGTAATTTGTTAAATAAACGAACATGAATAAGAAAACTTGTTCATTTATCCGCCTGTGTTCGTTCGTTTGTTTGTTCGACTAACTTAAACGAACAAACATGAACAAACCATTGTTCGTGTTCATTCAGTTCGTTTACAACCCTAACATAGACCATCAGTTCGTTTACAACCCTAACAGAGACCATTGAGGTTTTTTCTTTAATTAAACTTCAAAGATTGTTTTATCATTAACTTTTACATATTAATATAAGGTACACTAAGCGTTTATATATATATATATATATATATATATATATATATATATATATATATATATATATATATATATATATATATATATATATATATATATGAAAACAAATAAAAATAACATGATTTAGACCATGGTTGTCAAAATCGCGATCCTACGATCCTAGATATGAAAAACGATTCGGATCGTAAAAGGATCGTATTTGGGGTAGGATCGCAGGTAGGATCATAAGATCGTAGGATCGAGATCCGATCCGATCCTACCTTCCCTTGATTTTTTTTTTTTTTTTTTTTTTTTTTTTTTTTTTTTTGCAAATGAATTTTTATACCACTTTATGTCTTTTACCCTTTACCAATTTACCATTTATCATTTTGTATTGTGGCTTATGACTAATATTTTGAAGTTTTTATAACTTTTGAACGAAAAACTGAATGTCTGAAATACTTTTCATGATTAAAAATTATAAATTAAAATTATATTTTATTTTGTGGGATCTTAGGATCCCGATCCCGATCTTGCAAACCCAAAAACGATCCTAGGTAGGATCCCGATCTTGACAACCTTGATTTAGACAATGATAAAGATAACATAGTAATAAAATATTCAATA